ATGGGAGACTGTGTCGAACGCCTTGCTGAAGTCAAGGTAGATAACATCCACAGCTCTCCCTTCGTCTACCCAGCCAGTCATGTCATCATAGAAAGCTATCAGGTTGGTCAGGCATGATTTCCCCTTGGTGAATCCATGCTGACTATTCCTGATAACCTTCTTTTCTTCCACTTGCTTGATGATGGCCTCCAGGATAAGCTGCTCCATTACCTTTCCTGGGATGGAGGTGAGGCTGACCGGCCTGTAGTTCCCTGGGTCCTCCTTCTTGCCCTTTTTGAAGATTGGAGTGACATTGGCCTTTCTCCAGTCCTCGGGCACCTCTCCTGTCCTCCAAGACCTTTCAAAGATGATGGAGAGTGGCTCAGCAATGACATCCGCCAGCTCCCTCAGCACTCGTGGGTGCATTCCATCGGGGCCCAAGGATTTGTGGACATCCAGATCACTTAAGCGATCCCTCACACAGTCCTCCTCGAACAAGGGAAAGTCATACTCTTTGTAGGCTTCTTCTCTTACCTCCGGGGCCTGGGATTCCTGAGGGCCAGTCTTAGCACTGAAGACTGAAGCAAAGAAGGCATTCATTAGCTCTGCCTTCCCCGCATCCTCCGTCACCAGGACACCCGCCTCATTCAGCAAGGGCCCCACATTGTCCCTAACTGAAGCAAAAAAGGCATTCAGTAGCTCTGCCTTCTCTGCATCCTCCGTCACCAGGACACCCGCCTCATTCAGCAGCGGCCCCACGTTGTCCCTAGCCTTCCTTTTGCTGCTGATGTAGTTGAAGAAGCCCTTCTTGTTGTTTTTGACATCCCTTGCCAGCTTCAATTCCAGGTGAGCCTTGGCCTTCCTCGTCGCATCCCTGCATACTCTCACCACGTTTCTGTACTCTTCCCAAGTGGCCTGCCCCTCTTTCCACATTCCATGGACCTTTCCCTTCTGCCTGATCTCCGCTAGAAGCTCCTTGTTTAACCATGCAGGTCTCCTGCCTCCTTTGCTAAATTTCTTTCTCAGGGGGATGCATTACTCCTGTGCTTATTTTGTTAACTTTTTTTCTTTTTTTTTGAAAGAGTAAAACCTGCCCTTGACTAGCGATGATGGTGAAGGATGTCTTCAATGCATTAAGTGGCCAGAGAATGATTCAAATACCTTAAAATGTAATAAAGTTTTTGGCAGGTCTGTTGAGCTCATAGAATTTTAGTAGTTACATTGTTTTGTCATTTTTAAAATCTAACAAGCATTTCTTCACCAGACATTGATGGCTAAGGGTTCTCTTCCTTGCAGTTTGTGGTGGTGTTGTAAAATGAGGCTCTGAGCTACTGCTCTCCCAGGACTATACATCTTTACTGCCAGCATTTCACACTATTTGGCCAGACAGTAATCCTTCACTTGCCTTCCTTAAAGCAAGCCTGTCCCACATTTTTTTGGCAGAAACTAGTCAGCCATTTCTGGTTTGCTGAGGTCTTCTGTCCTTTCTCTCTCCCAAGTCTCACAACTAAACAACACAAAAAGCTGATTATATGCTCTGTTGCTGCAGCACTCACTACCTTCTGAGCCAAAGCCCTTATATTTTAAAATGTTTGCTATATTGGAATACTGGATTAAGAGAGCTAGACAATTAAAATCTGCCACCTTTGCCATGGAAGAAATAAAAGGCAATGAGTGACTTGGAAGTCCAGGTAATAGCTTCCACTTTGAAAATGCACAGTGGTGAATTTTTACTCATTACCTTTGTTCTCTAATATTTTTAAAAGAATACTATTTGGAAACATTGTGCAAAAGTATCCAGGACAATATTATATTTTTGCACCTCTTGGGTACTTTTGAAATGGACTCAGGGAACACGTGTTTTTAAGGAGAGAAAGTATATTTTTGGTAAATTGCTACAATGACAGAGTATGCTTGCACTCTTCACAGTTACTTTCTATTTATGATAGAGAATCACCATAATTCACTCAGGGCCAGCTCTGAAACTTAAACTTCACTCTAACTAGCTGTGTACAGTTGCTTAATGTAGACCAAAGTCTTATGACTCCTAACATTTTCACAACCACATTAATTAACCATCTTTTAATTAGTATAGAGGGTCAACTGAACTCATAGCAGTTACTTCATATGAACTGTGGCAGGGACACAGTAAGTATGTACAGTATACTACCAAAACACAGAACAGTAGTAGCAGACTTCTGCCGTTCCCGTTACAGCTCAAGATTTTGCCATGCAATGATTTTCATTTAACGGGTAGTCACAGAGAACTCGGTGTACATAGGTTGTTTCCAATAACTAAAGATGTTTCATCATTCCCATAATACCAAGAGAGGTTTCATCAAGATCTCCTGGGCTGTTCAGCTTTTCAAACACAACCAGTTTTCCCATTTGTGCATTTCTTAAAGACTTCAATCTCTAGCAAACTTTACCTTTACAAAAATTATTATTACATGGAGAAAAGGGAACTGACTTTGACACAGGGCAGTTTGACATTGTTGCTGTTAGCTGTGCAACAAACCCTTTTTAGATCAAGTGCTCTTGATGTTTAGCATGTAGTGACAAAGCAGCATGTAATTTCCATGATGTACCGTCTATCCAAGGCATACAAAAATCTTTGATTTCCTTCTGAAGTGCTCTCACTCCTTCTCTTTCCTTCCTTCTTTCTTGCTTTCATTCCTTCCTTCTTTCTCTCCATCCGTCTTTCTCTCCTTCCCTCCTTTGTTTCTGTCAATAATTTTCCTGGTAGTCTTCCATACGCATGCCAAAATCTTCCAACATTTGTCTCACCTGGCAGCTTAAATGACATGACTATCTATGACATTCTACTAGCTACTCCACTTTTTTTTTCCCTCCCTCTGCCAACATAGTTTTATGATTACTCATCAGACCCACAGCCCTATCAAGGTGGTAGAAGGACTAACATGAAGGACTGGTGCCTCCTTCCGTATATGACTCACAACAAATAAATAAACACCTGTATGCAAACACAGGTTTGTTAACACATTCAGTCGAAGTACCTGAACTAAGCGGTCTGTAGCATGAATGCTGACAATCTGAAAGATTAACCCATCCTACTCGTTATGTATTTCAACACATATGACAACAGTAAAGCACTCATACAGAATGTCATAAAAAGTAATGTTGTAACTGAGTATTTTCTGGAGAGCTCTGCAAGGCTGGATGAGAGATTCTTCACTTGCTTAACAGCGTGTTTTCACATTTTCCATGTTATCTTTACAGCACTGACTTTTCAGGCTGTTTGACCTCTGCTACATTATACAGCAGCACTGCCTAAAGTATTTTTAGGGAGAATGCAGATGTATCACAGATGGAGAGGACAAGGGTGCAACAGGACAATACCTGAGAATGCTTGGAGACCCAGTGGCGCAAGACATTTAGGACGCGATTCGTGGCTGCTCTGCGTATTATGAACTCTTTGTCGCACATGCGTTCAGAATTGTTAAATCCTGTGTGGAAAAAACACACATTAAAGTTAATGGAGGTAGCAAAAATTCAAATACAGTATGAATAACTTGGGTAAACTGAAAACTCATACAACATCTATGTGTAATAAAAGGAAAGATGCCTATATAGACTTTCAAATATGACCATTTAGACTGCTGAAATTCTGCAGGATCAGTAGAACACAACTATGTCCGTCATAAATAACGCAAACATCTCTTTGGGTCAGTGTGCAGTTTTAGAAAGATGAAGAATACCTGCCTGCATCATTAACGTCAGGTCTCGCACTAGTATGGAAGAAAATAACAGTAAAAACCAGAACCAGCTCAAAAACATACAGGGCCTGTAATCAAGCACATTACAGAAGGAAAGTGAGCATGATTTAGAAAGGGGAAAGAGGTAAATTTCAGAAGTCGTAAAGAAACAGGGGAGGATAGTAATTTAAACACAGAGGAGAAGAAGATAAATACAAGAAATCTTCCTTTGTAAGAGCAGTATTGTACAGGTTCTACTAGCCAACAGAAACTGTTAAAACAAGCTATTTGGTTTTTTACCCCTGGGGTGACAAGAAAGTGGGAAGGTATACAGAAAACACATTTACAACCCCAGCTGCTTGAAAACAAAGATTTGCCAACTACAGCATTTCCCCACACATCTTGTAAAGACAACTTTTTTTTTGTCAGCAATATTTGCTTATAAAGAAATGGTTTTAAAAACAAATGAGAAATTTTCTTCCTACATTCACACTATTTCTGCTTGCTTTTCTCACTCCGCTTTAGCTCTATCATAAATGCAATCTGTATCATAAAATAAATATTACATTATTTTTAAAATAATACAATTATTACACTAAACCCTCAAATTTTTTAAAAAATTGATAACTCTGAAGATACACTTGAGAAGTTTAAATTTTTCTAAGTTTCTGTTAGATTTGATCTTACACTGTGCTGCTTTCCATTCCACTTGGTGCAGAAACCAAGGAACAACTGGAAACACCCTTCCATACAACCAGTCCTTTACTATTTTTTTTGCCATAAAAGCTGTTCTAAAGCCTGTGTATTATTATAAATAGCAAAGGCAGATTAAACTTCTATTTACTCTGTGAGAAAGCCATTGGAGGTATTCTTAGAGGCTAGTATTAGTTTTGCTCTATTTTTATTAAAGATAATCCGAAAAATCCAAATTGCTGCTCTATAGTTTTGGAAAGATAAGCAGGTAAAGAGAAGTTTAACCACAGTCTTACATCTTTTACTGCAGGTTGAATCCCAAGCCCCAAATGTATTTTCTACACTTATGTTTCATGGAAGTTTTTTAAATATGGCATAGTACACTGTAGTTGACATCTAAGATTTAATATCAAAGGAAGTTTCATATTAAAACGTCTTCAGGAGTTTCACTGCCCATAAACAGCAAAGTAAACAAAATCTCTGAGGCTTTACTCAGTAAAAGGTAACCTAGGCAACATTTTGTGTGTTAATTTCCTATGCCTTTCACAGTAACCTCTTGCAGAAGCAATTAGGCATACACCTTATAAACTGTTCAATTAGCCACTTAATTGCAGCAATGAAAGCCACAATGAAAATTATGTATTAAAGCAGTGGAGTCTTTATCAAAGTAACATTAAGGAAAAGAAGTTTCAGTAAGCTGGAAGGAAAACAGAAAGAAGCCTACAGAGACAGTTTTCAGTTAGCTGCAAAAAGAATTAAAAGAGCAAGAAAGGAAAAAGGAAAACCACCAGAGACCACTTCAGCAAACTTCTATGGCCCTTAGAATTTCATCAATTTTTAAGCAGTAATTAGCTTGTTGTGAAGAATCAGCAACATGTTCACTCACATCCACATTGTCAGTACTTAATGTTGATGTTTCGAACTTCATGAATGGAGATCTTCAGTTTTGGAAGAAAAGAACTTAGCCGAACATAGCTGCACATGTGAATTTAACTCCAAGTGGGTGACTCATTGCACATCTTCAGATAAAAGACTTCAAGTAAATAACTAAATCAGCAAAACACATTTTTTTCAAAATAAAACTGGAAATCTATTAACTCCATTCTGACCTTGTTTTTAAATACCACATAACTCGGAAAGCCAGGATGCGTTTTTTTCTTCACACAACATTCATAATTTATTGTTCTTTATAGACACAAAAAAGAATCCGTAAGTCCTCAAGCAACACTCACTGTCCAAGACTTAAATTTGCAGATTTGGAAATGGAATGGAGTGAAATAACCACTGTTCTCTGTATACTGGCTTAGCGTCCTTCCATTTGGATGTCTGGTTTACCTCAAGGTTTTCCTTCAGGACTTGTTTTGAGTGACAGTAGATTTCAGGTAGGTTCCAGATTCAGTAGCTTTGAAAACAGCTCAGCAGAGTTAGGCCTGAAGTCAGAGCCAGTTATGCTGGAGAATAACATATGGCGTCCTTGGACCTTCCTGAGGCAACTGAGACTGGAGCAGGACAAAGCTACTGGGACTTGTAGTGTTCAAAAATAGAAGCCTCTGCCTCTGTTCCTCTTCTAAGATCTACTGTGCTTTTCCCAAGCAAATGCTTCTGCATAGACATGGCAGGAACACAGAGCAGTTCAGGACAGAGGGACTGATCATACTCCCCCTTCAAAAAGCAGTGATATTGTTCTGGGCAATGCTGAAGACTTGCACTACAAGAGAGATGAAGAACTGCCCATCATGAAGACAGAGGTGTGCAAGTCATCCCTGACGGGTGTGGACAGATCTTCAGAAGCAAAGCATATGAAATTCTTTAGGTCTATCACCAGAAGACATTGCAAAGCGTGAACCTGTTGAATGGCATTTAGCACACTGCTGTCTCTTAGCTTTTCAATCCTGAACTGACTTGTGACTGAAGTGGGAGCCACAACTGACAGCATCAGGCAGAGATGGTTACCATCCACATCATTAAAATGCCTATCAGGCACAGGTTAATTAGATCAGTCTCAAAATTAGAAGCTACTTAATAACTGCTGCTATTCACTAGATAAGCTTAAGTGGATTTATATATATGATTTTAAAATTAAAATTATAAACAATAGCCACCATTTTTTGATCTATTCACCTACATATCAGAAGACTGTATGAAGAGTAAAGTTACACATAGACAGGTATCAGCAAATCTGCTAAAAATTAATGTGTCAGCTCCCTCCCGATCAGTACTGCAACAGCTAAAAACCTCACCATTTAAAACACTGGATTGTATCACTCCTGATGCTACGAAAATTATGTCATGCTATTAACCTAAAGAAAGTTAGTGAATATTGAAGGTGAAAGCAAAAGAAATCTCAGTAGTTCTTACAGTCACTGAATACAATTTTTCATTAACCAAAAGGTGAAAACATGTAAGAGAAAAGCTACTCAAGAACATTCATTTCAGGATCTGACAAAACTCAGAAAAAAAAGAAAAAATGTCAGCTGCAAACAAGCAAGATCAGTAAGCATAATTTCTCTTTGGTCTTCTTTGATAGAAAAGGCCTAAACAAAACAGTAAAAAAGCCCCAATAAAAACTTATTGCTATAGCTGCATTAATATAGAAGCAGAAATGTAAAACCAAGTCTTTGGCTAGCATTGGTTTTGCTCCTCCTAATTTCTGAAGTCACATGGACTTTGGGACAGAAGCTGCAAAGTGGAGATAACCAGACTAAGATCTGATGAAGCCACTGCAAAAGCTATCTAAGCAGACACCAGTAAGCTTTGATGGTGCCTTCTGTTCTTCCTGCACTTTTCACCGTGCAAATTCCTTCTAATACATCAGCTTTACTGCTGCTCCTTACTTCCTCCTCTGTCTTTCTGCCCACCTAAACCGCTCCTAATATAACTCCAAACAAAACCCTGAGCCACCATGACAACTGCAACTACTCCATATGCATAGCCTGCTTGTTTATGCGTATTTTAAAGAGCCCAGTATACAGCCTTCTCTGGTTCTGCACCTTCATGTCGCCACTTATAGACAGCCCATGTGTCTGCTTTGTCTACACTGCAAAAGGTAACCTAAATCCTCCAGCCCTGTCTCAGCTTTGCAACAGGTAGCAGTGGTGCTGGTCTAGCAGGAACGCCAAGCTATCTCACCTAATGCAAAAACACAGGTGACAGCCAGAACCTTGCTGGGCCACACATCACCTGTTCCGCCTGTCCATATGAAACAGGACCTGCACCAACTGACTATGCAAAGTATGCAGTAGGAAATTTTGTTGTGGTTTGACCTTTGTAGGCAGCTAAAAGAAAGGGTGCTGACCCACAGATCAGAACTGAGGCTTCAGGTCAGGTGTTCACCTGCAAGGAACAAGGGTTTCATCACATCTCTAAGGCATATCTCAGAGACCATCCTATTAAACAGTTTCCAGTTAACCTTTTAGCATTGTTACATCTGCTCCACTATTCCCCATACACTTTTCCTAACTATTCTGAGGATAGGAACAGTTTTTAACTCTGATTATACAGTCCCTAGCACATTATCATTCCTATCCATGACTTGACTTGGAGGCACTCTTACCCATGTAGGCTATAAATCTAGGTGGGCTGAAAGAATAACAAAATAGCCGTATCTGATCGGATAAAATTTCATCTAGCTTGGTATCCAGAAGCTTGTGAAAAGAGATCTTTAAAAGGGGGCAATTCTGAAGCGGTCTTTCCCATAGTGTGTTATCCTGGGCATTGAGCAGTTTGGGGGCTAACTACACACATTACACTTGAATCAGAAGGAAAGTAGGCATGTTTTCTTTTAAGTTCATCTTCATTGTGGTTCCAGGAGAGGAGAGAGGTGAAGGGTCCCATCTAGAAGGATGCCAATCTTTGCAATACATCAGTCAGGATTCTGGATAGAACTGCCCACATTCAGACCCCATGGTGAAATAAACTGAAACACTCCATGGTGAATATCCGTTTATCTCCTGAAGGAAGCAATCTTTCCACATTAGAAATATCAGCAGTATTTCTGATCATTAATCATCTTAGTGGGCATCTGCTTCAGTGAGTGCTACTTTCAAGCAATGTTTTTT